CCTCTTCGGTTGAGGGGCATTGCTATGATTTCTGTGGCTCTGGTTCCTTGGGGTTCCTGTTGAGAGTCCTTCCTGGCCCCCAGACTGACTCCTCTCTGGTGGCATCCTGAGGCAGCTCCAGTGGTGGTTCCATTGTATGGCCCTGGGACCCCCAACAGCCCCTCATCTCCCTGGGTGGCAGCTTCAAGCAGGCCCAGCTGGGATCTTGAGCCTCCTCTGACCACACCCCACTCCCGAGCCTGAGGCCCCACCTCCCCTCTCTTGTCCCCTGTGTCAGCTGCACACCTCCCCCCAACAGGAGCCTGCTTGTGCTCTCCCCCACCTTCTCCCCCAAGGTCAGGAGCTGTAGGGGCAGCCTCTCTTCAAAGCAGGGGCTCCCTGGGAGAATCCTTACCCCAGTGCCACAGCTGTGGTGGGCTCCTTTGGTCCCTTCTGCCCATTGCTTGTCTGCCCAGGAGGAGGACAGGACCCTGGAAATCAGAGGCTCGGGGCCACTATTCTGTCTTGATGCCACCTTCTGGGTCACCCCTGCTGAGGGAGCTGTTAGGCTCTAGGTCCCCACCCCCAGCCCTCCCGCAGGAGTCTCTACCACCAAGAGGCCTGGGGCCGCCTTCCCTGAAGTCCTGCCCTTCAGCCAAGTTCTTCCCTCAAATTTTCCTGCACGGGGGCCAAACTGGGTTGATGTGGAGCCAAGATGTAGTCCCAGCAGCTGCAGGTAAGGGAGGGATGTCTGCTGCCCCTGGCCCCTCTCCTTCCCTCTGCCCCAAAACCCCATCCTGGAAGACATGGTGGGCGGTGATTCCTGCCAACGGAGGCCGTCCAGGCCCCGCGCCCAGGCTGCGAGGCCGGTAGCAGAGACCATGCCAGGCGAGGGGGAGGGGGGTGCCCTGCGAACAGCAGGAATTAGGGACTCCAGGCGACCAGCTGGTGTCCCAGTCCTGGTTAAGGGCTGTGTGACCTTGAACCAGTCTCCCAGCCTCTCTGAGCCTGTTTGTTTCCTTCTCTGTGAAACGGGGCTTGGAAAGGCCCTTCCTGGCCATGCTGCTGCGGGGTAGAGTGGCTGGCCTCAAGTGCTCAGAACAGCCCCTGGTGCACTTGCACGGGACGCTCACTGGCCCCGGGCTCGCACTGCCCCTGGGGCCCCAGACGTGCCAAGGAGAAAACCAGCTTTGTGGCTCTTGTGCTGGACCCAAGGGACTGTTTAGTGGCTGGGGGCCTCGGGGCCCTCTACCCAGCACCTGGGGAGACTGCTCGCTGACATGATGTTGAGGGGCGGAGCGCAGAGAAAATGCCCCGAGCATCGGGACCAGGAGTGCCTTCTGCTCCCTCCCAGATCCCAGCCCAGCCCCCTGCCCTTCCCACTGGGAGAGAGCCACCCCTCTGGTTAGCCCTCCCAAGGGCGGCCTAGTTCTCCCCCATCTCGGTCATCCTTGTGAACCCTTCCTTAGAAATCTGAAGCTCAGGGAGGAATTGGAGGCGCCGGGGGTCCCAGGGATGCCCATCCTTTGAGAGGTTTGTAGTCATGCCCCCAAGGGCCCAACATGCCGGGGTGGGGAAGGTGTGGCACCCACCACTGTCCCCTTTCCCCCCATGCATGGGATCCTCCTCAGGTTCTGGGGAACCAGCTGTTGGAAAGTAGGGGGGGGCCTGGGGTCAGGGTGTCTCACAGAGCCCCTTGGCTTCAGCCACAAATACACACTGGGGATGGGGCTGCGGGTCACCAGGTGGGAGATCAGTGAAAACAAGCTCTATTTGAAGGGTTTGGAGAGGCCTCACAGGTACGGGTTCGGGGCGGGGGGAGGGGGGAGCGGATGAAAAGTTTGCTGAGAGTTTATAATGTGTGTTATAGTGTTTATAACCTCACAAACAGATCTAATTCTTGCAACTTTCTAGTGAGGCAGAAACTGCCATTACCTCCGTTTTTCAGATTAAGAAAAGTGTCTCAGGATCCTTGCCAAAGGTCAGTTATGGGCAGGACCCAGACGTGAATTCGGGCCCGTGTAGCCTGAAGGCATACACGATGGGGTTTTCGAGGAATATGGAACCTGGGCCTTGAAGAGCAGGGCATTCTTGCTGTCATCAAGGGGCATTCCAGGTCAGTGGCCGAGAGCGGCCTCAGGGCTGGAGTGCCTCAGGGCTGGAGTGCCCACGGTGGCCAGACAAGGGACCAAAAGGTGGCAGAGAGCAGGGAGGAGGCAGGGTGGCTGTAAGGAGAGGCCGGGCAGCAGGGGAAGTGACCAGGAGGACCTGAGTCTGGTGGGAGGGCCTGAGGGGCTGAAGGAGAGGATGCCAGGAGAGGCGCAGGACACAGTGGGAAGGGGAGCCGGTCCTGGCTGGAGGGACGAGTTTCTAGGAAGTAGGTCTGTGGTAGCGGCCCGACAGAGGGATACAAGGGACCCGTCGGCCATCAGGTATTTTATTATTGGAAAGAAGGACCCTTGAAGTCATCTCATCCAAGCCCCTCACCGAAACATGAAGAAACCGAGGCCCAGAGTAGTCAAGGGCCTCGCTGGAAGTCACAGTGGGAGCCGGCCTGGGGCTAGGCCCCCTGCATTCCCACCCAGCGCGGGGGAAGAGGAGAATCCAGAAGGGAGCCAGGGGCCGAGCTACCAATTCAGGTCCCATCTGCAAAGGGAAAGAGCAGTGCACAGGGCTGAGGATGAAGGTCCCAGGTTGGGGAAGCAGGGGTGCCGGAGGGTGGGTCAGGGTTCCAGGAACTGACTCAGGCCTGTGCTGAGCGAGGCTGGTAAAGAGGGCAAAGGCTGGGGGAGGGAAGGACCAGGCTGGCGGGGGGTCACGGAGCAAGGGAGCCAGGTTTCACGGTGGAAAAGGAGAGAAGGAAGCCGACTTTGATAATTCTCAGGTTATCCGGTGACCTAGGACCGGCTGAGGCCCGTGGAGTGCTTCAGGCAGAGCCTCCACGGCTTTGGGAGGACAAGGTGCAGACATGGAGGCAGCGGCTGCAGACCGCAGGAAGGGGTTGGAGAAGCAGGGGGGGCTGCTGAATCAAGGAGTGGAGTTTTAGGGCAGAGGGAAGGAGATGGCAAATCCGATAAGGCATTTGACAAGGCTGGCTGGGGTAGACCGGAGAGCAGGGACGGTGACAGGAAGGACACAGCTCCCTCCGCAAGAGTCAGATGTGGGAAGGGGATGGAGAGCAGGGGGAGGCAGTGCCTGCACAGTCTTGAGTCAAGGTCATCTGCGGAGGAGCGGAAGGGGGTTCCAATAGTCAAGAGCCACTGAGGGCCACACATGAGGGCCAGCACCCATCTGTCCGAGCTCAGGTCTCCTTCAGTCCCCTCTAAATTTATATCCTGGAGGCTGGAACGGAGACATGGATAGGGAGAGACAGCCCTGGGCCTTGGCCTGGCTGAGAGGTCATGTCCAAGGTCACAACCGTGGAGATGGGAGGGGAAGGCCAGCTGGCTGTGAGGTCCTGGGCAGATGGTGAGGAGGGTGTTGGCACTGGGTGTGTTGGTCTCTGAGCAGCACAGGAGGATATCCCAGGGGTCTGAGAAAGGGGTGGGGGAAACTTCTTATCCAAAGTGGCGGTGTTGTGGGAGAGGGCCCCTAGCAGGAAAGCTCATCAGGGCAATGGAGTTTCCTTGGCAGTGGGCTGTGGGCATGTCCTCTGTAGGCGACGGCTTGGCAGGCAGCAGAACCAAGTCGGTGACCAGAGGAGACAGGACAGATGCAGCCCCCGCCCCCCGCAGCCCTCAGGGGCCGGGCTGGGGAGGGTGGTGCCGGACATATGCTCTCCGGCTCGCAGGGGGCTCCCACCCTGCTGGCCACTTACTCTGCCTGTGTCTGCTGGGCCCATGGCCCTGCTCTGGGTCACTGGATGGGACACTGAGGCCTGACACACTGCACTCCAGCCCTATCCCTTTGCTATTTGTTATTAACAAATTTATTTACAGTTCCTGAACCAAGATTAATTGTGAAATTTAACAGGAATGGCATAAAAAGGCCAAACATGACCTCTATGAGGGTTGTACACACAGTTGCTCTATTTCCAAAGTAACAACTCAGGTCCTCACCCGCAGCTAGGCCCCCCTTTCTTCCTCCAAAATGAGCCACAGAATAGCACCAGGCTTCTTGTAGCTCCAACATTTAAAGAAACAAACACACAGAGGCAGGGAAGGGTGAGAACCACAGCACAAAATGCAATAAAAAAAAAAAAAGTGGCCAGAGAATCGATAGCAAACCCATCTCTTGTCTCCAGATTAATGGCTTGGCTAAAAGAAATGAGGGGAGGTCCTTGGGGAAGGAGGGAGGGAAGAGGGTGATGCAGAAGTTGGCAGGTCAACCGCTGACCCTGGAATAGCAGAAATGGGGGGGCAGCCAGGGAAGAGCGGGTGGGGGGGGTCTGACCATCCCCCAGACTCAGGGGAAAGGTCCGTTCAGTGCTGGGCTCCCACCAAACACAGGGGCGAGGGAGCTCTGGGGGAGCTGCAGCCAGCCCCTCCTCTGCTTCATATGTTCCTGAGGATCTGTGTGCGTGAGCGTGGGGGGCTGGGGGAGGGACACACAGGCATTTCAGACAGCAGGGGAGCCACATGCTCCTGGGAAAGGAGGCTGGGGTGGGGGTGGGGAACACCGAAACCGGGCGCGGCAAGAGGCAAGTGCCTCCAGAGGTACAGGAAGCCGGGCCAGGGCTGCTGCGGGCGGCGGCTTCTTTGCGGCCCCTCCCTCTGCCCCCCCCCCCCCGCCCCCTGCCTCCTGGAGCGGGTGGGGCTGGCAGGGAGAAGCGCACCGTAGCCAGCCGCCCAGTCGGGACACGGCTGGAGGTAGGGGCAGAGAGCGGCCCCCCAGCCCAGACTCTCTTGGTACCCACCCCAAGACCCCGGCGAGTGGGTGGACAGGCTCTGTCGACCCCACAGAGCTCGGGCCGTGACCACAGCTGTTCACCTGGACTTCAAAGGCCAGGCCCCGGGCTCTTCTGGCTCTGGCGGGGAGGCCTGAGGCGCTCCCCTCCCCGGCCACCCTCCGCAGAGGTAGCACTAGGATCTGTGTCTCTGGCCCTCAGGCTGGGGGCTGCTGCGGCCCCAGGGAACTCCTGGGACAGTCCTCTGTGGATGCTGGGAGACGCAGGGGGGTGGGGGGGCAGGACCACTGGGAGCAGCCAGCTCCTCCACTGGCGGACTGGCCCTCGCAGGTCCCCCCGGGGCCCGCATGTCCTCTGCTGAGTGCAGGCGGGCTGACAGCTGGCCGGGAGCCAGCCGGCGCATGCTCAGACTCCTCAGATCCCGGGGGGCCATCCTCCCCCGGGCCAAGGGGGCTCTGCTGGCCTCTCCGTGGGCTGCCAGGGGAGGGGCTCTGGGACGGGGAGGAGGGAGGCCAAGGGCCTGTGCTCGCGGCCTGGAAGGGGAAGGCAGAGGACAGGCCTGCCACCGGTTGTCCTGGTGCCACAGGGGCTCCTGGCTCTCAGGACGAAGGACGAGGCCTGTGGCTGGGAGACCCCTGACCGCTTCTCGGGATTGCCACCGGGGAGCTGAACCTTCCGCTTGTGGCCAACAGGGGCCACGTCCGGGCCAGAGAATTCCGCAGAACCGGAGCGTGTCCGGAGGTACTGGTGTACAGGGCTCTCGGACCCTGGCGTCCCTGGGGGGTCTGCAATGACATCCGTTGAGCCCCCCAGCTCCTGGCAGTTTGCTACTGGTCCCGGCATCCGGCCAGCCCCCACGGGTTCGGCGGGTGGCTTCACGCTGCCCTCCGAGCCGGCTTGCTCTGGGGCGCCCGGGGCTGGGAGCTCGTCTTCCTGTCTCATCCCCGGACACGCGGCCCGGGGTTGGGAAGGCTGGCCGGGAGGCAGAGTCTCAGGCCACAGAGGGTCACCATCGGAAGACGGGGAGTCCGGCTGCCTGTGGAGACAGACACCGCCAGTGGGCCTCAGGGCTCAACTCCAGAGCAGGAGGCAAGTTGGGGTCTTCCCGGGCCGGGGCTGGGCGCGGGCGGGGGTGCGGCCCGCACGGTGCTACCCTCGCAGGTTTGGTGTGCTGAAGCGAGTGGCCCACTTTGGGGCTCGGCGGAAGGGCCGTTCTCGGGCTGCCCCTGCAGCGGTGGCCAGTGCTATCCGCCTCTCTTGGCTCTGTGGCCTGTGGTCAGGGCTGGCCGGAGGAACAGGTTAGAGGCTGTTCCATTTAATAACTTTGCAGCGGAGGCTGTGCCCTTTGGCGGCCGGAGAATGCAGCACCAAGCCTGGCTCCCCAAGCTGAGCCCAGGGAGCTAAGACTTGGCTTGAGAGGGGAAGCCACAGCTCCGTGGTGGGCAGCCGGGGAAGCTGGGCTCAGAGGAACCTGGGACTCTAGAGCACCCCTGCAGTCCTCTCTGGGGGTAACTTCTAGAAAGGCAGAGAGATCTTGCTCTTTACCCGTCTGAGAGGGACCCAGGAACCCCCCTCTCTACTTCCAGAAGGCCACACAGGCACACCACCAGGGACATGCCAGGAGCAGCAACTGCTCAACTGTGCCCCCCCACCCCCACAAACCATGGAAGCAGCCGCGTGCTGGTTGGGGGCCCAGTCCCTGTCAGCTGGAGCCACAAATGGAGGGCTCCCAACACCCACCAAACCCTAAGAGAACCAGGACAGAAGCTGGTGGGAAAGAGAAAAGTGCCATAGCCTGGTCCCTGCTGTCACCAGCCTGAGGGCTCCTTCCCACTGAGAGCGGGCGGCAGCAGGAGGGCGAGGGTGGGCGGGACGCTCACCTGGGGAGGCCGGCCCAGGAGGGGGCGTCGGCAAAGCTGTGGCCAAGCTGGGCAATGACCCGATCGACTTCTGCGTACAGGTGGGCTTCTAGGGCGAAGCCCTGGTGCCGGGTGCTCTGGAGATGCTGCACGGGGTGAGAGGGGCACAGGGCATTAGACAAGAGCAGGGTGGGATGCGAGCGGGGTGGAGGCCGGGGGGCAAGGGTGCCATCAGAGCAGCCCGGGAGAAGCTGCTCGGCAGGGAGGGCTCACCGCGTGGAGCTCCTCAAAGGCCTCCTGGCAGCACTCACAGAAGCCCTTCCTCCTCCTGGGCAGGGTGCGGGTGGCCGATCGCAGGCTTGGCTCACGGTCCTTGGGTTCTCTGGGGAAAGCGCGGGGTAGGAGTGGGGGAAGCGATCAGGGCTGGGCCCTCAGCGGGGTGGACCAAGACAGCTGGGCAGGCCTACCCCCACTTGGGTGGCAGGAGAGGCAATAAGGAAGGTGAGAGCTCCCAGCGGGCACCCCGTCCCGTCCCTGCCCCCACAGGGCAAAGCACAAGGGAGGCCCAGTGCCAGTGCCAGCAGGAACGCCTCCCAGGACAGTTGCAGCTCGAGCTCACACCCAAACTCACGTCCCTCTGCCCTGCACGAGGAGAGGGGCAAGGCCTCGGTGGCAGCGAGGGGCCTGTGCTGCTCCCACCCTCCCCTCCCGACGGTCGCCTTCCCCAGGCTCAGGCGGTCTCCTCCCTCTTGCCGGCTTGCGCTCGGCCCAGCTGCCACCTTCACCAAGGACTTGACAGTCTCCTCAAACCTGACTTCTTGTCTTAATTTCAGGCCCGTATTTTTAGCGGCTGCTTGGCTGTCTGAGCAAACTCAACAAAGTCCAAAATAGTCCCCTTTGAGGACTTTTCTGAGCATGATGCAAAATCCAGAAAACAGAAAAAAGCTGATAAATTCAACTACATGCAATCTAAGAAAAATGTATGCATGGCAGAAAATGTAAACAACAGACAAATCACAGATGGGGGTGGGGGGTATTTATAACTAATAACACAAAGAGAGGGCTCATTCCTGAATATGTGGAGGGCTCTAAGCCCTCTTCACTAAGAAAAGCAAACAGTGGGGCGCCTGGGTGGCTCAGTCGTTAAGCATCTGCCTGCCTTCGGCTCAGGTCATGATCCCAGGGTCCTGGGATCGAGCCCCGCATCGGGCTCCCTGCTCAGCGGGAAGCCTGCTTCTCCCTCCCCCACCCCCCCTGCTTGTGTTCCCTCTCCCGCTGTGTCTCTCTCTGTCAAATAAATAAATAAAATCTTTAAAAAAAAAAGAAAAGAAAAGCAAACAGTGACTGAAAAGAAAAATGGACGATGGACATGAAGGTTCACACAGAAAGAGATTCAAATGATCAAACATACGAATGTACTTAACCTCATTCATAATGAGAAAAAATGACAATGCAAATCACACCAAGAGACAGTTTTTAACCTCGCAGGCTGGCAGAGGTTGGCATGCGGGACAGCCCAGGTTGGGGGGGGCAGCCGGGCGCGGGCCAGGGTGCGTGAGTGCACACGGGCATCACCCCCATGAGAAGCAATTTGGCCATATTTATCAACATTATAAATGCAGGAACCCTTCGACCCAGCACCTCCGCTTTTAGGAATTTATTCCACAAATTTACTGAGTAAGACTATTCACTGCAGCATTATTTATAACAGCAAAAGCCTGGAAACTATCTAAGTACCCATCAAGAAGAGACTAGTTAAAGAAAATACAGTAAGACCATATGATGGGGGCGCGTGGGTGGCTCAGTCGTTAAGCGTCTGCCTTTGGCTCAGGTCATGATCCCAGGGTCCTGGGATCGAGCCCCACATCGGGCTCCCTGCTCGGCGGGAAGCCTGCTTCTCCCTCTCCCACTCCCCCTGCCTGTGTTCCCTCTCTCGCTGTGTCTCTCTGTCAAGTAAATAAAATCTTAAAAACAAAAAACAAAACAAAACAAAAAACCACCATATGATGGAAGACCCTGAGTCCATAAAAGGAATGAGGATGCTTTCTAGGGACTAATAGGAAATTAATCTAGGATACATTAAGTGGAAAAGGCTAGATCCAGCTCAGCCAATGTTATCGTACTCTTTACAGAAGAGGAGTGAAGGATACATGATGTACTTCTGTCCACACACACAAACTATCTCTGGACAGACCCACAATCTGGAGATTGGTGGGTAGGTGTGGAATATAGACTTTCATTTTATTTTTTTTAAATAAGATTTTATTTATTCATTTAAAACAGAGAGAGAAAGAGAGAGAGAGCATGAGCAGGAGAAGCAGCAGAGGGAGAGGGAGAAGCAGACTTCCCGTGGAGCAGGGGACCCGACATGGGGCTTGATCCCAGGACCCAGAGATCATGACTTGAGTCAAAGGCAGATGCTTAACCATCTGAGCCACCCAGGTACCCCCAGACTTTTCATTTTAAATCCTCTGTAACTCTTGCACCAAAAACTAATGATGTAATATATGGTGATTAACATAACAATAAAAAAATTTAATAAATCCTCTGTAACTCTTGGGACACCTGAGTGGCTCAGTGGGTCGAGTGTCTGCCTTTGGCTCAGGTCATGATCCCAGGGTCCTGCGATCGAGTCCCGCATTGGGCTCCTTGCTAGGCGGGGAGTCTGCTTCTCCCTCTGCCTATAGCTCCCCCTGCCTTGTGCTCTCTGACAAATAAATAAAAATCTAAAAAAACAAAAAAAAACAAAAACAAAACAAAAAGCCCCAGAAAACCCCCCTCTGTAACTCTTTGATTTGGAACCAAAATATAATAATTTTTATTTTTTTCTTATTTTTTTAAAGATTTTATTTATTTATTTGAGAGAGAGAGAGAATGAGAGATAGAGAGCACAAGAGGGAAGAGGGTCAGAGGGAGAAGCAGACTCCCTGCTGAAGCCCGATGTGGGACTCGATCCCGGGACTCCAGGATCATGACCTGAGCTGAAGGCAGTCGCTTAACCAACTGAGCCACCCAGGCGCCCAAAATATAATTTTTAAATGAAAAAAAAAATTAAACATTTCCTCTCACAGATTTTCTCCATGCCCCCTCAACCAATTTTGCCCCCCGACCCTGGGCCACTCTTTCCCTATGTTCCTCCCATGCAGACACCAACGCTTCACCATCTTTCCCTCACCACCTCTGCTCCTCTGTAATCTGCAGCCATCCCAGGCCTGGCACCGCCTCCACCTCCTGGAAAGGTATGCAGGGCACCAGGCTGTCACTTCGGCTTGCTCATGCTCTCTGTCCGCTGGGGAGACCCACAGGCCCTCCTTGGCCCTGGGAACTCTCATGCTGGGAGTCTGCCTGTCCTGGTCTCCTGGTCTGTGGACTAACCCTGTGACGCAGAGGTTAGAAGAAGGTCCAAGAAGGCATCTGTCCGTCTCCCAAACCACATCCCTTCTGCATTCTGCTCGGGGAAGGTTCAAATTCTCACCCACAGAAAGGAGGAACAACCCTACAAGCCCACATGCCTACAAGCCACTCTGGGCCACACAATGCGGCAGGTCCCTGGATTCCTTGCCCCCTAAGTTATTCCTGATGTTTAGCCCCAGAGGCCTCCAACTCTGACGTGCATAAAGGTCACCTGGGGAGCCGCTCACAAGAATGCAGTTTTGGGGGTTCCATCATCAGAGACTGTGGTTCTGTATGTGGGGTCTGAGAACCTGCATTTTTAATGGGAGCCGAGGGCACTCTGATGAAGATGGAGTGTAGATCTGAGTTTCAGAAACCAGCCTATTGCCCTCTGGACACAAGTCAAATTACTTAGTAGAGATGGAGAACACCAAGTAAAACGGATGAAGACTCCTAGTATCTCTCTTCTCTGGGCGAAGTTCCCAGAACAGACTTTGCCTCAGGAGCGAACACATGGCCATTCCCAAATGGGACCAGCAGGCTCCCTGGGGGAAGGGCCCTGCCTGCTGCTGGCCCTTGGTACTCAGACCAGCAACACCCACCTGGTATGATGCGAGCTGCCTGGGGTCATCGCGGCCTCAAAGGGACTTGCATCTTTGGGTCCCAGAAAAGAAACTTCAGGAAAGGACTTAAATTGATGGTGGAAGGGACGAAACTTCCTGAAACACAGAGAACTTCCATTTTGAATACCGTGGGGGGCAGGGAGAGAGGAAGGGAGGCCTGCCCAACCCCCCAGAATCCCAGTCCTGATAAAGTGGCCTCTCCCCCACACAACTCTTCAGTTCTAAAACCAAACCTTCCCCAGCCTTCCTGGTGAGACTGATATGCTCTCCCGGCTACTCATCAAGCCCGTTTACCCTCCCTGCCTCGTCTGAGCAAAGCGGAACATGTGGTATTAGCCCATTTGACAGAAGAGGAAATGAAGCCCAAAATGTTCTGTGACTTGCCCAAGGGCTCACGACTGGTAAGTGGTCGAGACCAGGCAACAGGCCAAATCTCCCGACTCCTGATCCATCTTTCCACTTTGCTTCCTGACCCTGACCACCTCTGAGGTCTCTAGCCTGGCAGACCTAAATGGAGGAATGTTTAGACAAGAACAGTGGCTTTCCTATTCTGCAAAGAGGAACGTCTTTGCTCTGGGCTGCTCCTCAGTACCACCCGAGAGGAGGTATTCTGAATGGAAGAGAGCAGCACAGTGAAGGTTCTGGATAGTCAGACCTATACTGAATGGTTCTGGTGGCTTGCCTCAAGTTGCTCATATTCAAGAGACTTCCAGAGCCAGGCGTGGTGACCTGGGGACCCCGAGCAAAGCCTGCTGCTGTAGCCGGGAGGCATGCCATGTTTGGCTGCAGCAGCCCGTGCTCAAGGGGGGAGTGAGGGCCATGAGTCTATGGGGGCATGGGGAAGGGGCACGGTGAGAGCCCTGTGGCCTCGGGGTGGATTAATACATGCTTCTTGGGCCCTTAGGGAGAGGGAGGTGCCCTTCACAGCCCCGGTACCTCACTTTCTTCTCTTCAATGGTCTGTTTCTGCCCAGAAGACTGCACAGTTGAGGTTGGTAAGGTTATGGGGCTTCAAGAGAGCACGTAAACAAAAGCATAAGAAAGCTTGTCTCCACTCTTGCCTATGCTGCCAGGGGCGCCCCAACACGTGTCCACCCTCCCATAAGTGACGTGTGCCGGCCACATGCAGTGCGACACTGGGGCACTGGCGTGTGTACGAGCCATGACCACTGTGTTTAACTGGTAGTGAAGGGCTGGGGGAGAGGACATGCACCCCCCTCATCCCACTGGAACTGGAGAAGAGAGTACCTATTATCTCCCTGCGTCCCCTCCACTCATTTCTGGGCCACCAAAGCCAACTCTCTCCTGTGTTCAGGCGCCAAGAAGGAAACCTAGGTCCACCTGGAGGGTAAGCAGGCATGCCAGGCTTCCGGCACTGGGCCTTTTAGCTGCCCTGCCTCAGGCTAAAGGACCCAGAAAGCTCTGGTCCCAGGAGTCTCTGCTGGGTTCACATAGGCTTTTTCTTTAAAAACAAAACAAAACCCAAACCCAAAAGCAGCTTTTAATTTTGAGGTCATTACAGACTCACAGGTTTTTGAACTAGTCCTTATTGAAGAGTCAGTGATAACCAAGGTGACTGACAGCTCATAGGTTATCACCCATGTGCCCCTCCTGCTCTAGAAAGAAGGGGCCCTACTGGGGGACAGACAGGCCAGAGTGGGGAGGACACCAGGCAGGACAGGCAGGACACCTGGATTCTGGCCTTGGGCTGAGCTTCATTGGCAACATGGCTGTATGCAAGTCCCTTAATTTCTCTGACCTCAGTTTCCCCACTAGGAAAAGGATGGGCTCTCCTCATGCCAGTCTTTCCCACGCCCTCACGAGATAACATGTGTCAGAAAAGCATTTTGCATAGCCAAACAGAAAGGCTTCTGGTACAAGACGGTTGGACAAGGGAATCGCCAACACCAGCCCGAGCACCCTGGCTTCAGCCAAGATGACAGTACTAGCGCCGTCTGGGGCCAGCACAGACTTGGTAGTGAGGGTCAGTGTGCGCCCAGGGGGAAAGGACGAGCAATGAGCCTGGGTGGGACATGGGCGCTCTGAAAAGCAGAGCATTAAAAGGAGGTAATGCACACACAGGGTCACTAACCTCTGACTCATGACCAAGAGGAGGGCCAACTATGCAATGCCACCTTCAGAGGCTCCTCCTGGTCTGTGGGAGACTTCTCCATGACAGGGGGAGAGAGCGGCTTCTGGGGAAGACGAAGGTGGAGGGCTGAGGGGCTCCATGACCCTCACATCAGCTTGGGGCCCCTGAGTGCCTGTCCTCCGTGCAGGCCTGGTGGGGCTTAGGGGAGAGAGAGGGGGCCCCCCACCACTCACCTGCTCTCATCTTCGATTTTGAGGAACGGTGCCTTCAGCCTGGCCACTGGAAAGGAAACGCGCACACATGAGCCATCTGTCAGCTCCGGTGCAGGGCCCGCACCACACGCACAGGAAACGCTCAGAGAGGCGAGGCTCTGCCAAGGTCTAAGAGCCACGCAGAACCAGAGCCCATGCCACCCCAAGTGCGCCTTTCCGTTTGGCTGAGGTCAGGCACCCACCCCCATCTCCTCTGGCCTCTACCCAGGGTGAGAGAGGGAGGTCCCCTACTGGGGAGAGGCCACAGGGTGTTGTCCACCCCACAGCAGGACACAGGACCCTGCCGTGTGTGGGTTCTGGAGGCTGTCAGTCGAGGGTTAGAAACCTGCCCACAGGGCAGAACTCAGCCCCAGTTCGTTTCTGCTAAATGCCTTAGGTCCTTCCCTGACCTTCCCTCCTGCTGTCTCAGAATCCCGAGGGGCCTGAGAACACTCCCAGGCGGAACACTCCAGGAGGATCCTGGGTTTTTTGCGGGAAAGCAGGGAGGAAGAGAGCTGAAGAGTGTTTACGGATCATAGCAGGAGGGCAGTTAAAAAAAATATCAAAGGTGAAATCTGGATCCTGGATAACAGGGCAAAGGGCTGCTGGGAAGACGAATTTGCTCAGTTAATCAAGAAACTCATCCTCTATGAGCTAGTTATTCACACAGTTTGCAAAATCTCTTAGGTATTAAGAACCATTTCTACTTCCCACAGAAGGCCTGTCAGAAGGGCAGCCAAGGCAGGCTGGGAGCCTGGGCAGCCCCAGCAGCCCCTGGACATCCCCCCCACAACCACCCTGCCCCCGGAGGCTGGCGCCTCCCCGCTCAGACCCGCTCACGGCTCCGCCAGCGCCCAAGCAAAAAGCAGCCTCGCTCCTCGCAAGGCATCAGCCCCCATTAATTACTTTTTGGGGGCGATTTCTTGTCTTTCTAATTAACTGAGACAGTGATTAAAACCAATTCCCCCACAGATTTCCTTGAATTTTGAACACGAGAGGTGCCAAGTGACTTTTCTTAGCTCCTGCTTGTGCAAGAATAAATGCCACTTAAAGAGCGTCTTTGGGAGAAACATCCAGGGGGAGAAACTCTCTTGCAGTCCAAGAGGGGCCGGGAGCCGGGCTGTCAATCTGCCGCTTTGTCAGTTTCGGGGAGTCTGGCATTTGGGAGAGTGGTAGGCAGCTGTCACACTGCCCACCCCAAACTGCTCCTGAATCACAGGAAAAGGAAGGCGAACTTCACTCAGTGCCCAGGAAGTGGCAGCGGCCGCATGGGCTCTTGGCACAAAGTTAAAGCTCCAGCCGGGCAGCTCTGGGCTTGCTCACGGATACCCTCCTCCCGCCCTCTCGTCTCCAAAGCTCAGGCCCTGCAAACACAACGGGGCAACACAACCTGGACTCGCTTCCTGCCACAGAAAAGCGAGCAGATGCTGCCACAGAGGGAGCCGTGGGGAAGCGTTTAGGAGGGAGGGACTGCAATTAGATGAGCAGAGCTACCACACTGACCTTTCCGCATTCTTGACTCTGCTGGACACGTTCCCTAAATGGAAAGGGAAAATAGGTTAAGGATGCGAGGGAGCTAGAGGGTCGAGGAAGCAGGCCTGGGGAGGGGAGTCGCTGAGTCTGCCCCACTTTGCTTCCTGCGGTCGGCTGGGCCCTGAGCAAGGGCAGACCCGACACAATGGCTCCCTCTGCCTCCCCAGGGACATGATGGGTGGTGAGCCCTGTGCGCACATCTCAGTGGCGGCTGACTTTGTGGAGGGAACGCAGGGCACAGTGAAGAGCAAGAGCTCCAGGGCCCCCAGGCCTGGGTGCAGGCTGGCGCTGTGCCACCCAGGGTTTTAAGTGGCACCCACCTGCCTCGCCGATGTGGCCACGATGTACAGACAAATGCAAAGGGAGGAGGTAACAGACCTGACGCAGAGCAGGTGCCCAGGCACCTTGCATTTTCTAGGCACTGCTGCCGTTTCAGGTCAGCTTACAGGACAAGCGTGAAGAACACGCCTCTCGCTTTCCTGTGCCCTGTGTTATGTGTACTTGGACCCCGTTGGTCAAAACCAATGTTTAAACTGAGGGTTCTAGAGGGTAGGGGGGTGGGGGGATGGGTTAGCCTGGTGATGGGTATTGAGGAGGGCACGTTCTGCATGGAGCACTGGGTGTTATGAACAAACAATGAATCATGGAACACTACATCAAAAACTAATGATGTAATATATGGGGATTAACATAACAATAAAAAAATTAAAAAAAAAAAACCAATGTTTAGGTCAAGGTCAAACAAAGCTAGTATTACAAACTAAATGGAAAAAAATAAGAAATCAGGTAGAGTTCAGGGAGGGGGCGTGACAGAGATCCAGGGGGTCCATGACTATTTGTACCCCTGGGCCCACAGAGGTTCTGGATTCTCCTCCAGGCCACACTTCCAGGGCCAACATGACCCAAAGAAGCTTTCCCTATCTCCTTGCATATCAGCAGACTGCACCCAGAACTCACTCTGGAAGACCCCTAAGTATCTACAAAATAGATTAAGTGAACAAAGCAAAGTAAAAATACCGTACATTTGCGTAAAAGGGAGGAACTTCTGACCCATCTGCTCATATAAGCATGGACCCTGGGAGGGTACCTGAGAAACTGTTCATACCGCTTACCTCAGGGAGGGGGCTTGGTGGCTGGGGAAGAGAAGTTGCAGGGGAGAGAGACTTTCATTGTACAGCCTTTTGAATGGTGAACAATGCAAATCTAGTTAGCAGCAGCAGAACCCCAAAGGCTCCCAGAGCAGAGGGTACGGAGCAAGGGGGCGCTGAAGCAGGGGGCTCCATCTGGTAGAGCGGTTCGCTCCCATGGTTGGTCCTGCTCCTGGGTGCCAGGCCCTCAGTGGACCTGGAAGGCTTAATCCTTCCTTAGATTCAGGCTGGGTGAAGACACTGTGGCTTGAAAAATCAGCCTGGGCTCTCTTGATGTGTGGTACACACAGTTCTAACTCCAGCAAAGGAAGGAAAAGCCAAGTAAGAATTTGGAAGGTGACAGCTCTTTTAAACCGCAACATCCCCTGCCCCCACTGATGCAATCTGCAGGCTCATTCCTGGGCCAAGAGCTGTCCCAGAACGGCAGCCTGGCCAGCAGGCTGTGAACACTGCTGTTTTATCTAGGCCAGGACTACCCACAGGCAGTCCACAGCCCAGGCCACGGTGCATGCCTCAGTGGACCATGGGAGATTTGCAGGTAGCACAGGAGGAGAGGACAGGGCAATGAGAGGCTGTGGACATCAGGGCCATGCTGACGACGGAGAGGCTGCACTCCTCGTACTTTTTCCAGGATGGACAAGAAGATATGGCTCGCCTGGGTAGGGGATTTACCGAAGTTGTCACAGACTTCACCACTGCAGACTGTCCATTTCCCTTCAGTTCAGCAGGACGACCCACCTCTGGCTTCTTCTTTGGCCCTTGTTTCTTCACACACAGAGCATCAAGAGACAGCTGCTGCACGTGCATCAGCATTTCTGTGGAGGAAACAGAGGGCTGTGGCCAAAGGCTCCCACCCCTCCTCTCCCCAGCACGGCCCCTTCCTGGGGCTGGGGGCTCAACTTCTCGCAGGCCTGGCCCACTGGATCACACCAGCCTCGCCTGCCACCTTCTGGCTATGTGTCACCTCTGCACCTGCTGATAATAAAGAAAGGGCTGGGTCCTCTATCCCTGGAGAAGTACCTAAGCTGGCTTCACGCTATTTTGTGGCACTGAGTACAACTCTCAAACAGGAGCTGCCTTACGGCTCACAAGGGCTTTATGGTACCACTGAAGAGCTGCTCCCAAGGGGGGACACCAGCCATGTGATTTACTCAGATGCAGCCGTAGATGCAAGGCCCAGCAGGAGCTTCCCTAATACACAGGAAGGCAGGAAATTAGACCATATCAGAAATGGCTGATTTTCCAGTGATGACGGAGCCTCCCACATCCCAGACCAGGACCTTCCTGAGCACAGTTCTCAAATGCCCTGGCAGATCTCGGGCTGGATCTGGATCAGCCCCCTACAATGTTATTAGGAGAAAACCCTAGACCCAGAGTGGAGCTGGGTATGAGGGCCAGTTACTGCCGCCAATTCAGGACAGCTATTCTAATGTAAATTTATGACAACCTGCAAATAGGTGGTTACAGCGTGAGACAATCCTACATAAAAGAAAAGAACATGAAAAAAAAATTTTTTTAAAGATTTTATTTTTGGGGCACCTGGCTGGCTTGGTCAGTGGAGCATGCGACTCTTGATCTTGGAGTTGTAAGTTCAAGCCCCACACTGGGTGCAGAGATTTCTTAAAATAAAATCTTTTATTATTTTTTATTTTATTTTATTTTTTTAAAGACTTTATTTATTTGAGAGAGAGAGAGAGAGAGCATGAGAAGGGGGAACGGCAGAGGGAGAGGGAGAAACAGGCTCCTTGTTGAGCAGGGAGCCCAAAGAGGGCCTCGATCCCAGGACCCTGAGATCATGACCTGAGCCGAAGGCAGACGCCTAACCAACTGAGCCACCCAGGAGCCCCTATTTTTATTTACTTCTTTTTAAAGATTTTATTTTAGGAGTGCCTGGGTGGCTCAGCCGTTAAGCATCTGCCTTCGGCTCAGGTCATGATCCCAGGGTCCTGGGATCGAGCCCCACATCGGGCTCCCTGCCCAGTGGGGAAGTCTGCCTCTCCATCTGCCTCTCTCCCCCGCTCATGCTCTCTCTTACTCTCTCTCTCAAATAAATAAAATCTTTAAATAATAATAATAATAAAAAGAAAAAGAAAAAAGATTTGGGGCACCTGGGTGGATTTCTGTGCTTGTGAAATGATCACGTAGCGCAGATAAAGCCGTGCCTCCCAGTATCTGCACCTTGCTGTCACCACTGCTGGTCCACACCCCCCACCTTTGTGGGTCAACACAGTGAGTGAGCGCATTTGGTTTTCAGCTAGCTTACACTGGCTGACGTCCCTCTAAGAGCGGATGCTCCCAGTCAGTCGTCAAGTCCCCCCCACCCCGCACAGAAGCCCTGGGCAGAAACGGTACCGTCCACGTGCAGGATCCTCACTCCCCAGGCGCGGGCACTGGTCAGGAGACTGCTGCTTCTCCCGCCACCTCCCCTGCTGCCGCTCTCCTGGAAAAATGACGTAGTCAGGCAGGAGCGAGAGACCCCCCCCCAAAGCCTGACGGGCTCCGGGTCACCCCACAAAGAGACGTCGTGGAAGGGTCTACCCCAGGCCCCCCCGAAGACTCTGTTCTCGCCAGAGGGGCAGACCGTTGCTTTAGCCACTTATGATCAGGAAGCAAGAGGCTTCTCAGAGAGCCGTCTGTCAGGAGGGCCTCTGTGAGCCAAGCTCTCAGCACACAGCAAGTGCCCAACAGACAGCAGCGACAGTTGCCGTCCTCAAGCAGGAAGCCGTGCCTGCCTCAGGCTGTCCCTGCCCCACCACCGCAGGGCAGCAACACCACCTTCCCACACTGCAGCCATGTCACTTGACCCGCTTCTCTCACAAGATCACCTTAACTCCTCCTCCCGCTACTTAACTTTAATGGCTCTGGATCTCGCAGCTACTTAAAAAAGATGTGCTAAGTCTGGCTTATGTGCAGCACAGACACGTCCCCCAGCATCCCTCCAAGGTGCTCTTGCTAGCTCTGGAGATGGAAGGATCGGGAAGTCAAATCCAGGCTCTACCACTGCCACCCTGGGGGAACTCTGGACAAATTGCTTCACTTCTCTGAGCTCTACTTCCTCATTCGTAAGGAAATAAGGACGATCCCTCTCACAGTTATGCATTTTGTGGCAGAACTCCAGAAGACCCTCGGGAGAAAGGTTACGTCCCCCCTACCCTCCCCCCATGCCAGAGGTGCCCGCCTCCTTCGGCTCACCTGGTTTCTGATGGCCTTCTGCAATAGCTCCTTGCCTCTGCTCCTAGGCACCTGATAGGAAGAGAAGAACCCTGAGGTGCGCTCTGCAGCCTACCTGTGCACTGAAAGTTCCACACAGGCGCCGGTGAGGTCTTAGAGTCCTGTCTCTCGGAGCGCTGGGAGCAGTGACAGCTGAGGAGCAGCAGAATGAGAGCCTAGAGAACTTTTTGGAGTAAAGGTAAAGCCACACACAATTCCGGGTCGCCCACAGGCAGCTGCAGCTTGGACCCAGGTGGAGAAGGGCGTTCTGAATTTACCCAAGGTCAAAGTGTCGCCAGTGTTCTAAGATCTCTCTCTAAGAGTCTCCACACCCCCAGCAGAGAAGCCTGGGCCAATTTCAACAAGTAGTCCCTGGTTTACAGAGGACCTTCCTATTGTTTTTGAACCTCTCACACAGAAGCCCCATAAAAAGCGAACTGTATCACAGAAAGGATAGCATGAGGGTAACGAGTTGCTGAGGTTTTTAGAGCCAGAGCTATGATAAAATATTTTCAGTCCCTGAATTCAAATGAGAGATTAAATTAAACCAGATGAAACTAAAGCCGGAGACCGCCCACAAGGGCTGAGGCTTCCTTCCTTCGTTCAGAGAACACACCTTTCCTACCCAATGAGGCTCTTACCGAGTCTGCAGGCTTCTGCGAAGGCCTGGTGTGGCCGCCCTTCGGATGGGCCACGGACGGCGTCTGTCCTCTGACCTTGCTGGGGCTGGGGCAGCCTCTGGGGCTTGTCCCCCTGCTCTCTGCTTTCGCCTCCCTGCGGCTGGACACGATGTAACTTACTTCTTTGCTCAGAAAACCCTCAATTACCTGAAACCAGATCACAGAGGTGGCTGAAAACCAAAATGCAGATGTAGAATCATCAATTTTGAGAGGTTGGGGAAGGAAATTTTGGCTGCTACAAGTTTCAGAATCAATGTCTTTAAATAGACCAAATGCAGTTCTGTACCGAGCCCCTAAGAAGACATCATCCTGAAACACAATAGAGTTTATATATATATATATATATATGTATATATAAAATACAGGTTTTTGTCTCCAGAACTGCTGCTCCTGACCCAGCATCAGAAGGCCACAGGCTTTGTTATTTGACCATTTTGAGTCTGCACAGAGCAAGAGCACACTGACGGCGCCTGACAGGATTAGGACTAGCTTAGTTAGGGGCACCTGGGTGGCTCAGTCGGTTAAGCTCAAGTCATGATCCCAGGATCCTAGGATCGAGTCTCACATCGGGCTCCCTGCTCAGCGGGCAGCCTGCTTCTACATCTCCCGCTCCCCCTGCTTGTACCCTCTCTCTCTTAAATAAATAAAATCCTAAAAAAAAAAAAAAAAAAAAGTGCACCTGGGTGGCTCAGTCGGTTAAGTGTCTGCTTTTGGCTCAGGTCATGAACCCAGGATCCTGGGACTGAGTCCCACATCGGGCTCCTTGCTCAGCGGGGAGTCTGCTTCTCTCTCTACCCCTCCTCCCTGCTCCTGATCTCTCATATATATAAATAAAATCTTTTAAAAAAAATTAAAAAGAGGGCGCCTGGATGGCTTAGTCGTTAAACATCTGCCTTCAGCTCAGGTTATGATCCCAGGGTCCTGGCATCAAGCCCCACATCTGGCTCCTTGCTCAGCGGGAAGCCTGCTTCTCCCTCTCCCACTCCCCCTGCTTGTGTTCCCTCTCTTGCTGTGTCTCTCCCTGTCAAATAAATAAATAAAATCTTAAAAAAAATAAAAATTTTAAAATTTTTTAAAAAATTAGAAAGAATAGCTTAGTTACGCTATGGCTTTCCTGTGAAGACACACTGGGGCGTTCAGACACTGCACCTGTGATCTTGACCACACTCCAAAAGGAGCAAAAATATGAAACAAGAAAGGGTCTGGCCACTACTCAGCTGCACAGGTGTCTGCTCATCCTATCTGTAAGCTCCTCACAGGCACTGAGAGGGTCTGACTCATCTTTGTATCCCAAGGGCCCAACGTGGTACCTGAGACACAAGGGTATTTAAGCCATGTGTGGGGGCAGTAGAAAAGAGGGACGTAAGCAGGGTTGAGGTGGTGGATGCTTCATGATCCACTCTGTAGGGGAAAAGCCCTGCTTTGTAGCATGTGCCAATTTCTGGGAGGTAAATGCTCCCACTGTGGCTGATTTCAAGCTACCGACATGATGTTACTGAATGTGGAACTGGAAGGAGATGCTAACAGTTAGCTCTACCTCCAGCACACCACTAAAAATAAGGCTCGATGATGGTCCTCTCGAAAGGGTGACTGGATGGGAAACTTGGCACTGAACTTAAGAAAACAACAACAACAACAACAAATGTTTAGGTTCCTCAAAAAGCTCAACAGGGTCTACCACACCACCTGGCAATTCTGCTTCTAGGTATGCACCCCCAAGGAACTGGAAGCAGGGACTTGACCAGATGCTTGTACACCCATGTTCAGTGCAGCATTATTTATAACAGCCAAAAAGCAGAAATAATCCAGGCGACCCGACAGATGAATGGGTGAGCAAAATGTGATGTATACATTCAGGGAAACACGGTTCAGCCGGGACATGAAGTTCTGACACAGGCTACAACATGGATGAGCCTGGGAACGATTATGCTAAGTGAGATAAGCCACACACAAAAGAACGATTATTCGAGATTCCACTGATAGGAGGTCTCTTGAATAGGCAAGTTCAGAGAGACAGAAAGTAGCTGTGAGTGGCAGGGGCTGCAGAGAAGGGAAGTGGGAAGTTCTTGCTTACTGGTTACAGACGGTCCGTGTGGGGTGATAAAAACTGGGGAAATGGTGGTGAAGGTCGCCCGGGCACGTGCATGTAATTCACGCTGAGAACCGTACACTTGCCAATGATTAAAATGGCCCACTTTATGCTATATACATTTTACCACAATTAAAAAGAACCTCTAAAGGTGTGGCTTGGATGAGTGACTCTACCTTCTGTAACATGTGGCCAAAACAGACGTTAGAGGGTGGGAGGAGGGCAAGGGTTTTCCTGTGTAAACGCGGTTGATGGTTTCAGGGCCGCACAGTCCTCCCATCCCCAGTACACCTACTCCCATCGGGAGGCAGAGCCCACTTTTTCATCGCCTTGAATCGGACTCCTTTTGAACAATAGTGAAAGGTGTTGTAGAGCCTAAGCCTCAAGAGGCCTTGTAGCTTCTCCTTTCACCTTGGAAAGCTACATGAGACCGCCACGTAGACAGGCTGGTTCAGTTTCCTGTATTTACATATGATATTATACATTCCTACAACATATGTAAGAAGCTTCTCAAACGAACATGAGAAGCCATATAGAGGCAGCCAGCACCAACTATCAGATGTGTAAGTGAGGCCAACTTTGGTCCTTCCAGCCCAGCTGACCCTCCACCCAAATGCAGCTGCAGGGGTGAGTCCCGATGACACCAGCAGAGAAACCGCCCAGCCAATCCACAGTGTCATGAGAAATAAAATTTTTTTCTATCATGTCCATGGCTATTAAGGAAACCAGTTTTGTTTTGTTTAAAACTGTATTTATTTATTTGAGAGAGAGAGTGAGAGAGCGCTTTCACGCAAGCAGGTGGTGGGAGGGCAGGGGCAGAGGGAGAGAGAGAGAATCTTAAGCAGGCTCCATGTCCAGCATGGAGCACAACACAAGGCTTGATCTCAGTTGTGAGATCGAGGCCCGTGTCGGGTTCCCCACTCAGCTGCGAGTCAGCTTCTCTCCCTCTCCTTCTGCCCCTCCCCTGGCTCATGCTCATGCACGTGCGCTCTCTCTCTAAAATAATGAATCTTAAAAAAGAGAGAGAGAGAGATTTGGATGCTCGACCAACTAAGCCACCCAGGCGTCTCAATAACTTGTTTTATGCTCCAGTTCTAGGGTGGTTTTTTACACAGTAAAGGCTAAATGACAGAACAGACTAAAAGTTCAAAAGGTAATTTGGGGCCAGTTTGGGTGTATAATCATCATTTGGTACATTCTCCACTGCTGAGTTTCCATATCCCTGAGCTTCTGTTCCTTTGACAATCCTCTGCATTCCAAGCTTATTCAAGTCATTTCCCCAGCTGCCCGCCTCTTTGGGGCCAAACACTATCATCCTATTTTCTAAACACCGCTTACTAAGAGTACTACATGACACCCATGCCTTACAAATATTTTAAAGGACTCAAGCACGGCAAATGCTTTTTATCCAAAGTTTTTTTTACCAGTGTTATTTGAAAGAGCTAAAATTTAGAAATAATCTCAATGTCCATAGGGTAACAATTAAGTAAACTAATAATCCACTCAAAAATATTATATTCTCATTACAAATAATGTATATGAGGGACAATAAAGATAGAAAAGTGCTAATGCTTTAAGATAGTGGGCAAAAAGCTGGTAATCAAACATGTATTCATGATCACATAGCTACACAGAAAACGAGCATAAAAAATAAAGGAATGGGGCACCTGGGTAGCTCTGTTGGTTCAGCGTCTGACTCTTCATTTCACCTCAGGTCATGAGCTCAGTGTTGGGAGATAGAGCCCAGTGTGGTGCTCTGCACTGGGCATGGGGTCTGCTTAAGATTCTCTCTCTCCCTCACCCTATCTCCCACCCCACTCTAAAAATATAAAAAATAAAAAAATAAAAATAAAATTTTAAAAAGGGAAAAAGAATAGAGACAGAAGTAGATGAATGTTTACCCAGGTTGGGGGTGTTGAGGAAAAATTGGGAGTGACTGACAATGGGGAGGGCTTCTTTTCTGGGGTGATGAAAATGTTCTAAAATTGACTGTGTATTCACATAGCTTACATATCTCTGTGAATACACTAAAAGCCATTAAAAAAAACCCATTTTATTGGGGCACCTGGGTGGCTCAGCCGTTTGGCGTCTGCCTTCGGCTCAGGTCATGGTCCCAGGGTCCTGGGACCAAGCCCCACATCAGGTTCCTTGCTCGGCAGGGAAGCCTGCTTCTCCCTCTCCCACTCCCCCTGCTTGTGTTCCCTCTCTCGCTGTCTCTCTCTGTCAAAAAATAAATAAAAATCTTTAAAAAAAAAGAAACAAACCATTTTATTTATTTGAGAGATAAAGAGAGAGAGCACAGAGGGAGGGGGATAGGGAGAAGCAGACTCCCTGCTGAGTGGGAGCCTGATGCGGGGCTCGATCCCAGGACCCTGAGATCATGATCGAGCCGAAGGCAGCTGCTTAACCAACTGAGCCACCCAGGTACCTCTCATTAAAAACCATTGAGTTGTACACTTTAAATGCGTGAACTGTATGGTATATGAATTACATCTCAATAAAGCTGTGAAAGAGAGAAAAGAATCCAGAAGAAAATATATCAAAATGATGGTTTTCACTTGGCACAGTTCCACATTCTACAAAATTCCTAAAATGAACAGATAATATTTTTTCTAACTGGGAAAAATTTTAACTTTATTTTACTTTTAAAATTTTTTTATTTATTTGAAAGACAGTGAGAGCAAGACAGATCACAGAGGGAGAGGGAGAAGCAGACTTGCCGCTGAGCAGGGAGCCTGATGTGGGGCTCGATCTCAGGACCCTGAGATCACGACCCGAGCCAAAGGCAGACGCTCAACCAACTGAGCCACCCAGGCGTCCCTAACTTTATTTTAAAAAGGGTGGCTTTGGAAAATGTAGCTGTCCCACTGAAAATACCTGGAAATCACAGACAGAATCCCTCTCCAGCTCGTGCCCTATAACTCACAAAGGCACATGACATCACGGGTTGGAGGCAGGTTACATACCCCACCGAACTGCTGGATGGCCCCCGTCAAAAACTGGAGACTTTTGCCGGCAGGCAGATCCAGATAAAAGGACTTTCCAGAGAAGGGCTGCCTCCCAGCATCTGGTGAGCTCCTCTGGCATTTTTCCAGACAACTGGAAACTCCCAGCTGAGTCCCTAGAAAGGAAGGAGAAAAGGAACAAAGTGAGAAGCATGGGCTAAGAGAGTCCTGCGAGCCAAGCGATGCTCATCAACAGCCTCTGCGTGGTGTGCCCCAGGTAGGCCCTGGGCACATAAAGATGAATCTGAGACTAGCATTCCCGCCCTCACGAAGCTCAGATGTGGAGAAACCAGAACCCTCGTACGTGGATGGTGGGAATGTAAAATGGTGCAGCCACTTGCGGAAACAGTTCGGTAGTTTTTCAAAATGCTAAACATTAAGTTAACACATGATCCTGCAATTCCGCTCCTAGGCATGTACCCTGAAGAAATGAAAGAGTATGTCCAGATAAAAACTTATATAGCACAGTTCATTTAGCCAATAGGAAATAATTCACATGTAAATAAAACGGTAAGTGGAATGTGGTATATCCATTCAATGTAATTTTATTGGGCAATAAAAAAAATTGAGCCACCAACACTGGCCACAACTAGGATGCTGAACCTCAAACACATGCTCACTTAGAAAAGCCAGATACAAAAGACCACATATGACTGCATTTATATGAAATGTCCAGAAAAGGAAAATATAGAGAGACAGAAATTAGATCAGTGATCCCTTAAAGGCTGAGGGTGGGAGGAATAAGGAGTGACTGAAAATGGGCATGAGGTTCTTTTCGGGGTGATGAAAATATTCTAAAATTAGCCTGGTGTGTTAGCTGCATAACTCTGTAAATTAACAAAAAATCACCGAAAGCATACACTTACAACAAATGAATTTTATAGTACGTAAATTATATCTCAATAAAGCTAAAAAGAAACCCCTCAAACCCTCAGCAAATATAATCTTGAGAATTGTGCATTTCATTGAATATAAATTTTACATTAAAAGGAAAAAACTATAAACAAATATGGAATTCTGGTCAATGAAATGCATACTGAACTATTTAGAGGGAAAGGTACTACTGTCTATAAATTACTTGAAATGTATCAAAAATAAAATGGATAGGGGCGCCTGGGTGGCTCAGTCATTAAGCGTCTGTGTTTGGCTCAGGTCATGATCCCAGGGTCCTGGGATCAAGCCCCACACTAGACTCCCTGCTCGGTGGGAAGCCTGCTTCTCCCTCTCCCATTCCCCCTGCTTGTATTCCCTCTCTTGCTGTGTCTCTTTCTGTCAAATAAATAAATAAAATCTTAAAATAAATAAATAAATAAATAAATAAAATGGATTAAAAATTGATCAGGATAAAATAAGTATATTAAAACATCAATGATAAAACTAAATGGTGTGTCTACATGCTTGGTGTGGAATTCTTTTGACTTTGTTGCAGGGTTGAAAACTTTCACAATAAAGTGTTAAAACTTGAAGAGATAAAAAAGGATTCAAGAGAATGTGACAAACACTGAAGACAGGCAAAGAAGTCTAACATACAGATAATAAGAGTTCTTTTTTTTTTTTAAGATTTTATTTATTTGACAGAGAGAGACACAGCGAGAGAGGGAACACAAGCAGGGGGATTGGGAGAGGGAGAAGCAGGTCCCCCGCCGAGCAGGGAGCCCGATGCGGGGCTCGATCCCAGGACACGGGGATCATGACCTGAGCCGAAGGCAGACGCTCAATGACTGAGTCACCCAGGCACCCCAATAAGAGTTCTTAAACACAAAAAAATAAAACAAAAAATCCCCAGAATACTAAAAAGCATAACTAAAGAAAACTTCCCTGAAATAAAAAAATATATTTGAAACTAACAAATTCAAAGAGTTTGTCACATACTTGGAAAATTGGACCCGGAACAGTCAATACCAAGAGAGTAAAACTGAATTTTATTTTTTTTTAAAGACTTTATTTATTATTTATTTGACAGAGAGAGAGAGAGAGAGAGAGAGAGAGAGAGAGAGACAGCGAGCATGAGCAGGGGGAGGGGGAGAGGGAGAAGCAGACACCCTGCTAAGCAGGGACCCCCCGATGTGGGACTGGATCCCAGGACCCTGGGATCATAACCTGAGCCGAAGGCAATTAACCGACTGAACTACCCAGGCACCCCTGGATCAGATATTTTTATAAATCTTTTTTTTTTTTTTTTTTTTAGATTTTTTTTATTTATTTGACACAGACAGAGACAGCGAGAGCAGGAACACAAGCAGGGGGAGTGGGAGAGGGAGAAGCAGGCTTCCTGCTGAGCAGGGAGCCCGTTGCAGGGCTCGATCCCAGGAGCCTGGAATCATGACCCAAGCCAAAGGCAGTTGCCTAACGACTGAGCTACCCAGGCACCCCTATTTTTATAAATCTTCTAAAACTCTTTGATTCCACGAATTCCTGCATCACTGCTATCTACTGCCCTGTCAGTCTCTCAGTTGGACCTGCTCAGTTAAACCCTGCTTGCCCTTGTAAGATGGTGTTTTTCTTATTCTGAGTTCCAGATAGACTTATTGTCTGTCCTCGTGGTATTTTCAGCTTCATATTCTTGTTTATTCCTTCAGGGTGAACCTCTGGACTCCCCATTAGACTGGGAATTATTTAGGGAAGAGATTTTGACTTATGTATCAGTATCATTCCCATAAAACCAGAGCCTGCTCTCCTGTCCTCAGCCAGTGCCTGACCTTCAGGCACTTAACTTCTGGCCCCCTAAACCTCCCTCTTCCTGAAAGTCCTAGGTACAGAGCCAGAAAATACTGGAAAGTCAGCTTAGCATTTTACAGAGAAGACTTCTGTGGTGAGTCCCTGCCTCTGCTCCTTACTAGCTGTGTAACACTGGGCAAATCACAATCTCTCTTAGTGTCTCCAAATCTCTCTCTCTTCACTTCTGAAATAGCGATAACAATTAGTACCCATCTCCCTTGGACAGTCCATACGGAGTAAATCAAATACTGCAAATTGTGTCAGGTAATGGTATTGGGGGGGATATTCAAATACTTAACCTGCACCAATCACTCTGTATGGAGACTGGCCAGAAATATCTGATTTAGCCATACGAGGAATACCCGCTGAATGTCAGCCTGGGGCATTATTCTAACTGTAGCCATTCTGGATCCCTCCCCAGTGCCAACTTCTCCAGAAGGCTGGCTTTTCTTTTCTTTCTTTTTTTACTGAAGTATAAATAACAGACAACACTGTTACTAGTTTCAGGTGTACAACCTAATTCCATACTTATATAGAGAGCTCTCTCAGAACTAGTCCTTTAGACTCCTAAACAAGATGATAAACACACAAGGCCCAGACTTTCTCCACAGAAACGAATCCTAGGGAAGCCATGGAAGTGAGGAGAGGTGAGACGGATGCCAGACCTGGACACTGGGGGCCGGGGGCAGCAAGCCCGGAGCAGAAGGGTGCCAGGATGACAGACTGGGGGGTGCTTTCTACTTATGCTGTATGGGTCACATTGGGGCAGTGCCTGAGCCCAGCTCAGGGTGAATACGCACATGTGTAGGAGAAGGGGACCGTGAGCTGGCTGGCATCTGAATGAACCTCCCTGCCGACCCTCTATCCGTCTGGTGAGTTAGGTAATTACAACTCAAGGAGACAGCTCTTGACAACGAATAGCACAAGGCACGGTGTGTGAACTGGAAGGGCACAGACTTGCTGCAAACAGGGAGTGACTGAGCCCATGTTGGAACCAGGGGCTCTCCGCCTAGGGGTCGTTTTTCTCTACTGTCCCACCCTCAGTCCCAACACTCAGTGGAAGGGCAGATGACAGGGTCGAGGCTTTTGCATCTGCGTCCCAGAAGTACGTTACCCATCGGAGTGGCTGTCTCCAGGGGACATGGGCTTATAAGGAAATATGAGGCAACTAAAGAAAGCAAGTACTATAAAAGATGTTTTCTCTGGTACAGGTTGTTTATCTGTCATAAGTAATGGATCAGACAGAGAAAAGAATTTTATTTTTTTATTTTTTATTTTTTAAAGATTTTATTTATTTATTTGAGAGAGAGAGAGAATGAGAGATAGAAAGCACGAGAAGGAAGAGGGTCAGAGGGAGAAGCAGACTCCCTGCTGAGCAGGGAGCCCGATGCGGGACTCGATCCCGGGACTCCAGGATCATGACCTGAGCCAAAGGCAGTCGCTTAACCAACTGAGCCACCCAGGCGCCCCCAGAGAAAAGAATTTTAAAGTATAATAAATCACCTCAAAAAAGGGAGAATACTGGAGGGTGGGGGGATGGGTTAGCCCGGTGATGGGTATTAAGGAGGGCACGTCTTGCATGGAGCACTGGGTGTTATACGCAAACAATGAATCATGGAACACTACATCACAAACTAAAGATATAATGAATGGTGACTAACATAACATAGTAAAAAAAAAAGGGAGAATACTGGAAATATAAAACAGGAACAGCAGGTAAAGAATTGGAGATAAATGACATGAAAAATACAATACTTAAAAAAACCCTCATATAATAAAAAGATAAATAATCCAACTAAAAATGAGCAATGAGGGGCACCAGCTGGCTCAGTTGGTGGACAGTGCAGCTCTTGATCTCAAGGTCATGAATTCAAGCCCCATGTTGGGCATGTGCCTACTTAAAATAAAAAATACATTAATTTAAAAAAAGGGTGGGGCATTTGGGTGGTGCAGTTAGGTTAAGCATCCTACTCTTGACTTCGGCTCAGGTCATGACCTTGGGGTTGTGACATGGAGCCCCAAAACTGGCTGGACATGGAGCCTGCTTAAGATTCACTCTCCCTCTGTCCCACCATCCCCGAACCCCTTGACTGTTTTTGAAATGTTTGTGTTAAGTCTGAAATTATTATTATTATTATTATTATTAAATATTTATTTATTTGAGAAAGGGAGAGTGAGCGGGGTGGTGGCAGGAGAGAATCTCAAGCAGGCTCCCCAGTAAGTGTGGGGCCTGATGTGGGGCTCGATCTTATGACCCTAAAATCATGACCTGAGCCGAAACCAAGAGTCAGACGCTCAACCCACTGAGCCACCCAGACGCCCCAGTCTGAAATTATTTTAAAGTGAAGAATGAAAAAGAAAAAACCCAAACCCTCAATAGGTGAGTTAAATCTTGCAA